TTTATCAATTAGTTATTGAAATATTACAAAAATAAAAATTGATGTGTTGTCCAATTATTTTTGACCCACACTGTATACTGTAATAATAATTTGTATCAATTGTAATTATTTTATTATTTATTGAAAAAAACTATAAATTTAATATGTTTAAGCAATTCTTTCAAGTTAAACATGTAATATCTTTGTTTTTAAATTAATAATAAACAACGAATTTATATTTTGACCTGTGATTAAAAAAAATAATTTTATAATAACTAATTGATATACGTATTTCCTTTTAAATTTTATTTTGTAAATATTCTAATACTTTATCTATTGAAATATAATACTTTATCATGTATAAAATTATTGCTTAAAAGTCAAATGACTATTCTGTTTAAACTAGTTATTGAAATGCCAATTGATCTCTGTTAAATGTCTTTCAGTATTACAGGAACAAGAGAGTATATCTTCATTCGTCGGCAATCGCGTCGTGTGGTACAACGCCTTGATTTTCGGTAAGACTACCCTCGAGGATATATGTATAAGGGCCGGTTTTACGTTTCTCGGTGAGTTCGTAAGCAATTAAAAGGCTACAGCGTGGGCAATGCAGTCTATATTGTTTTTCGTATCCTTCTGCTCTGAAAATTTTAGAGAATTATTGGTTATGAAAATGTAGTAGGTAAATTAAAAACCGTTATCATCGCTATCACAAATACCTTTTCAAAATGACCGGTGTCCCTGATTCTATCGCATTTAGTTTGTAGACTCGTTTTCCATTCGCAATTATATGAGACCTATCCGTTGTGCGCCGAGGTAGCTTATCTAGACGAGCGTCTATATTAAGTAACCAAAAATCTCTTTTAACGTTAAGCCAGGTCAACGAAAACACAAGAGAATATTTAATAAAAACCTATAACCAAAATGAATTCGCTACATAAGCAGTAGTAAACATGAAGATGTTGTTCAGGACGTGCATTTGTCTGTTCTGACGATGAGACTATAGAGCTTGAAACAATTTTTGGCATGAATGAATGTAAATAAACCAGTGGAAGAAATCATTACTTATATAGACCTTCACTCGATTTTGTCACTTATTTGTGCAGTGTGACGAAATCGAGAATAGCGTGAGTATTTTAACGACAATTGTATTCTATTTCTTTCCCAAATCTTTTAAAATGGTGTGCACCAAATGTAAGTTCTTCTTAACATTCAAATAATCACAAACAAAGCTCATTTACATTTGCTACTCTATAGGTGAAAAGAAATTGGCAAAAGTAATTTGCCCTGATAAATGGAAAGAAGGATCAAGAAATACGACAGGTAATCTATTCACTAAGCACTTTATTTGTTTAATAAATCTACTTAAACCTCGTTTCCTTCCAAAGTTGGCACTGACAGGAAGCTACATGAAAATAAATTATTAAGTAAACCAGGAAAAAATCGGTAAATATCATTCATGAATATTTTTATACAAGGATCAAACTAAATCATACATGGAACAGATTTAAACCATACGAAAATAAATGTAAAATCTGTAAATCTCGAGTGCATCAAGAGCACGCACATTATTGTCAAGGTATTTCTACTTGGTCATGTTATTTTCTTAAGTTTCTAGAGTTAAAACTTAAAACTTTTAATAATAGGCTGTGCTTATAAGGAAGGAATATGTGCTATGTGCGGAAAACAAATTCTCGACACGTCTGCTTATAAACAAAGCGCTAAATAGGTCATATTGGACTTCAAAGATATACATTCTGGATTTGGCAGAACACGTAGGAGTTAGTGTGTTGGTGTTCCTGCAATTATTGATGATTAATGTTTATATTATAAGCAACTGAAACAGAATCTATTTTTAAACAGAATCAATGAGCCACGGAAATAAAATTATACTTGAGATTGCCGTTATTAATGTTTGCTTAGCGAAATAGCAATCTTTTTACATTATACCGCAAAATCAATCAAATTGTTGATTACGATATAATAACTACACTTTATATCCACTCAACTTTTTGATCATCGAATAATCCCCACGTTGCATTTATTTCTGCAATCATTATCCTTCTATCATCACTCCATAATTCTTCCTCTTTCTCTGAAATACAGTTACATATAAGAGATCCAAGCAGTAATGAATGTTGGTTGGAATTATCGATTCTGTTAGTAGATTACTTTATCTTGAATGATTTTTATAAGCGATCATTGGACTATTTTAACATGTTAATATATCAATATGTGCTTTTGTCGTTTTATTAGTCAACTGTAGTCTACCGAAGTACCATTAAGTTCTTATTGATAGTCTGAATAAAAATTAAACCTAGAATTAAAATATTCTTTTACAACAGTATTGTGAGCTTGAAAACATTCCTGGTTCTTTGAAAATAAGAATATAGTAATAAAAATGTGAACTTTTTTTTCGATTTAACATACTTATTACATGTTACGTGAAATTTCAATTCAACTATAAATTTATATTACATTACACATTATACCCTATGAATGAATCTATTTATATTATTTAAAAAATAGAAAAAAATTTCGAAGTAAAATTTTTTTATATAAATCGTAATACATAGGCAATAAATACATTTTTTACAAATTTATTGAAATTCAATGCTTTAAAACAAGATATATTCTTTGACCTGATCAAACTCAATATATTAACTTTTTTTCTTTAATTTGGTTCTTTCTTTTTGGAAGCACTTATGATTAAGTAATATGCAAATGATCTTATAAGTTTTTAAAGTCATGCCCATGCTTGATATTAAATTGATGGTAAGAAATATTTATTATCATTTTTTAAAAATATTAGATTAGTAGATAATAATAATAATTCTTTTATTTTTTAAAAAAATTTATTAATTTATAAGAAGATATTTAAATTTTATATTTATAATAAAACTATTAAAAAACAATGCATTATTATACATTCCTATGCATCTTAATTATCAAATATTTGGAAAAAAAAAAATCAAGATTAAAAGATTTTTAGATTTTTAAGAAAAATTTTTATCTTTTCTTTTTACAAATTTTATTTTTATAAAATTTTTATAAAATAGAATTAACTGGCTTCTTTTTAAGTTCAATAAAGTTTTTTTTTTATAAATCAATTTTTTTTATCTCTAATTTTTCAAATATATCTTTGGTTCTATATACTTTTATTATAAAATATCAAATTTTTAACAACAAATTAATTCTTTTATATAGCTATTTATTAAAATAAAATAAAAAATTTCAACAAAAATAATTTAATAAAAATATATATTATATTCAATTTATTTTTTATTTTTTTTTCCAGTAAATAAATATTTCTTTATTTAATTTGTATATTTAAAATATAAATATTATGAAAAAAACAATATTTCTTATATATACATCAGGAAATTTTTTTGATGGAGATCTCTAGAGATCTTCACCCAAAAAAATTTTTCGAAAATTTCTGGAGAAATCTTCAAAAATCTTCAAAGGTTTTTAAGAATTTTTAATATAGAATTTTTTAAAAT